CGTGCCGGCCGCCATTTTCCCTTCTCTCTCCGCGGCCCCGGCCCTGGCCCCCCCGCCGCCAGCTAACGTGCCCGGCTTCGCCACAGCGCCCACCTGTTGCTCACTTCGCTCCTCGGCCGCGGTAGCTCGGCTCGGGCCTAACCGCGCCGGCAGAAAGGAGCGCTCCGAGGCGCCTCACGGCTGCGAGTGCCGGGGCACCGAGCTCCGACGCCCGCCCACCAGGCTCCCATCCAGCGGCTCAACAGCCACGCGCGGCCAAGCCACCTCCGCTCGCACGGCAGGCCCCTCCCACGGGCCGAGGCGCGGCGCGGTGCGGCGGCCGCAGCATAGGCCCCGCCCAAGCGGAAGTTGAACGCAGTGGTAGGCTGAGGTGCGGTGAGGGGCATGGGCGGGGGGCAGTTGCCAGTATGGTTAAAACCTTGCGCATAAGTTTCTGGTCTTTCGGATGTTGCCGAAGTCACAACCCCAGGAGAAAGCGGATTAAAGGATTCGCTGAAAAGAGGCTGCCGTTACTCCCCAAACCAAAGTGGCTCTCTTCAGCTGGTGTAGGTCTTGATGCTGCTTTCCATAGAATCACAAACTGGTTTGGCTTGGAAGGGACCTTAAAGCTCATCCAGTTCCAGCCTCCTGCCATGGGAAGGGACACCTTCTACAAGACCATGTTGCTCCAATCCCTGTCCAACCTGGCTGTATGTAGGCAGATAAACGTGTGTGTGTGCATATATATATATATATACATGTATGTATATGCACATGTACGCATGGTCAAGTCGGAAGATGGGCCTTAAATGCTAACACACTACTATTTGTTGTTTAATAACCATGGACTAAGAAGGAAGAAGTCATGAAAGATGTGCTAGAAAAATGAAGCCATCCCTTTAGTAAATACAGGTAATTTTCCAGTCCATATAAGCAAGTGTATCTTGTTAATGCCAGCCAAATTCCTACATCCACATTTTTAATTACAGCAAAATAAAATAAAATAGAGTAAAAAATAAATAGACTCAGTTGGAAGGGACCTACATTGATCTATTGTAGGTCCAACTGCCTGACCACTTCAGGGCTGCCCAAAAGTGAAGCAGGTTGTTACTGGCATTGCCCAAACACCTCTTAAACAGTGACAGGCTTGGAGTATCCACCACCTCTCTAGGAAACATGTTCCAGTGTTTGACCACCCTCTCGCTAAAGAAATGCTTCCTCACATGAAGCCTAAACCTCCCCCAATTACCATACTTATTATTACACCACAGTGTCATAACTCAAGTATTGGTACAGTAACCCTCACTGCAGGGAAGGATGGTTTTTAAACCTGGGTACAGGCCACAGAAACTGCTCTTTGGCACAGCCAGTGCCTCAAAGGTACATATTCCATGCATGGGCATGCTGGAAGAATGGGCAGGCAATTTTGACTTCTGCACGCCACGTGCCAGTGAACTGACCCAGCCAGGGGACTGAAAATTTGGCTCAATCAGCTACAGCAGGATGACTTGTTACTTGAATAGTTAGGAAGTTTTTGAAGAAGAGGCTGGAAGTGAGGACTACTGTACTGCTGGAAGCTGCCTTTGGGCTCATATTGTGGTATCACATTTCTTACCTTTTTAACCCCATGGGAAAGACAGGAAACTATTTAAGGCCTATCTGTCATGTTAGAGGTTTTTCATAATTTTAAGGTGATGATGATGACGCAATACTACTGCCTCAAATACATGACTTTCAGGCAGTGTTGCAGAATAATAAAACTGCAGCTAAGATTGTACAAAACTGGAGGCAAATTACAGCCTAACACACCCTACAGTCCTACCTATGCCATCAGCTAAACCTCAGCTGTTCTGACCTTGCACCATTTGTGTTCAGGAATTTTATTTCCACTGTCACAGGCATAAAAGAGCTGGCTCCTGCCTTCAGCTCATAATGTTTTCCTTCCTTCCAGAGTTCTATAGCTAAAACGCATATACTGTGTATTATAAAAGTTATGCAAAAGATGTTTTTGGGTTTTTATTTGTTTGGTTTTTGTGTGTTTGTGCATAAGCCTTACTTCCCATCTGAATTTCTCAAGAGAAGATCAGAACAGAAAAAGGGAAGTGAAGAATGAAAATACTGTGTTAAAAAAGAAATAAATAACCTGACAGAAAACAGAGTCATGACGACTCACAGTCACTATATGCTTTTCAAATCTATCACCTTAATGTGTCTAAATTCCCCCTCTACTCAGACTTCCCTAACCCTTGGGTTCAGCTGTTAATTGCTTCCCCATTCCTGTGACTTATCCTTTGATGCTGACCATTGTGCTTTCTTCATCCATGTGGTCCACAGAGACAAAATAAATGTCTTTTGCCTTTGAGCACTAAGAATTTTGGGATTGGAAGAACTGAAAAAAAAATAGTAAATGAAAGCAGATAAACTTGAGACAGAGGTCAGGCAGGTGTTACATGTAGAAAAGATCTTTTTCCCTTTGCTTAATGCTTTTCTGTTACTACTTTACCATTCCAGTTTTGTAATTCTTAGAGATTACAGAAACAGGTATTATAAAAGCAGCTTCTAACTTACAGGTTGCATTATTTCTCTGTGATGAATGGACTATTGTCTTAACATAGGTTTCCTAGTTTTTGTACCTCGATGAAGATATTAAGCAGCTTTTGCCCAGATAGGTAATACAGTTTCCTGTTCTGTTCCAAATTTGTTGATAACAGTGAATTTTCCTTTGCACATTGATACCATTTTAGAGGTTTCTCTGAAGAAAGGTTTTATCATTTCTGTGTAGGCTGATGATTGGCACAACTACTGAATCCCCACAGCAAATCATTTGAATAAAGTCCACATGTTATATTAAAAACAGCAAGCTCTGGAAATGTTTCTATAGCACATTGGCAACTTCTGGCACAAGAAAAAAAAGTAAGCAGGAAGCAAAAGCGGTAAAACAAGCAGCTGCATAAAGCAGTAACATTCACTTACAGAGCGAGTAAGCACTATTTTTGATTTCTGAAAACATTTCATGCTGCTCCCATGCTCTTGGATTGTTGTAGCTCAGTGAAAAGCTACAATAGCTGCGAAGTAACCTGGAAAAGGACAGCTTTTATGAATGGAAAAATCACTTCCACACAGCACTGCATTTCTTATCAGAGTTTATTCTTGCACTTCAGATACCATGCCACTATCAGAATAATAGCTATTTTTATTTTAAAAAACTTTGAGAAAAATGTTTCCAGCAATTTTCATTCAATGTGAATGACAAGAGTATTACCTCTATAACACTGAAATACCTATTTAATTTCTTCCTGAGGAAGTTTCACATTTTTAAGCAGTGAAAAAGGATATTCTGTACAAGAAAGTCTGCAAATCATTGCGACTAATTCTTTCTGCAGTAGTAGAACTGAGAAAATATCAACAGCATTTTCAGCAATGTTTGCTTAAATAATTAAGTTATTTCATATCAGGCCCTTTTACACCCCCTGTAATGGTCACTTTCTGTTCATAGTCACACATTAACTTTTAATAGCACAAATTCTGCAGAAAGTAAATTGCAGAATCATATTTATGAAAATGAAGGTGAAGCTCACATAATCAAGCAATTGTGCAGTTATCTACCAGGACAGCAGAAACCGTGGCTGTGTTATCAACCACAATACAACATATCTGACTTTGACTAGCAAATTGAAATTCATTGTAATGAATCAGTATTTTTTTTAAGAGTGTTGATAGTCTATTTCTGGTAATCAAACACCTATTGTAAGTAAGCTTTGAATAGAAGTAGTTAAACTTTGTCAGGTAATGCATGTTGTATGACTTGCTTACTCAGCTGTACTCGTGCATCCTATGATTTGGGCAATAACACATGTAGCTGTTGTCTGCATGCTTTCCTGAGACTCTTCATTCTTCACCAAGTTGACTGCACATTAAAAGTAGTGTTTTTTTAAAGTCTCCTCTTAAATGTAAGAACATATTTAAATAGAATAGTTCTTGAGAAAAAAAAAAGTTGCTTCATACCATCTCTGTATTAACAAGTAATATGCGAGCATCAGAAATTTGGAACTGTAAAAAGCACCAGCAGTTGCCTTTATTTCTCCATTGCTTTTGTTTCAGAGACTAGCCCTCCCAGCATACAAGAAGCTAATCCCACAGCACTGTTTCTAAAGATGCTAGTGCTTAATAGGTGCATCACAACAGCAGCTCAGACTTAATGGAGATTCAAGATTACGCCCTTTCAGATGCAGTTCCAGGTCAAGCTACTTTGTTCACAATATCCAGTCAGGTAAAGTTACCACATGAATCCACCGAAGATTTCCCTAGGAACTCATTCATTTTGTTTCCAGTTCCCTCCTTTAGGAAGAGCACTGGGATGATACAAGAGCTCCAACCTGCTGTTCCTCATAAGGACTTGAGAGTCACTGTGGCACTTCTTCCTGGAGAATGAGCTTTGTATTTAGCTGCCAAACCAAACCCAATCCACCCAAGGCCAAAGCCAAGGCCATGCATGTCGGGGGCTTATCTCTGCAGTGCTACATGGTGACTCCAGTTGGGCTATTTTAGCAGATCATCAACAATTGTAGTGGGCTCCTTACTGTACCTCAGTGAGTACTCACACAGTACTCCACAGATTTAAGACATGTCACTGTGTCTGTTGTAAAATTTCTGGAGGCAGAATGCAACTGAATGCATGTCCCTATCACCACTGTGCCTGACTATCCACTCATTCTCATTTTGTGGGTGCCTTGGCTTCCCAGAGAAATAAGACAAAAAGGGAGTTCTTAAAGAATGAACTATCAATGTGGCAGCCCATTCCTTCTGTGGATTTTTTCAAAAACTGTTTGAGTGAAGTTACATCAGGTTATATTAAGGGTAAAACAAATCATACCAAGATGAAAACGCCAGGTATTTTCTCCAGTTATTCAATTTCGTTGTAGCAAATCCATATAGAAGCTTGCAGGAGGCATGAGCTGTCCATAGCACTCAGAGTACTTGCTTTTACAGATCTTCAGAATCCAAAATGTTTATCAAATAAAAAGTACTTCACAAGTCAGCCTCTGGGACAAATCCATATGACAGTGACTATTTAAAGTGAAATGAAAGCTCTTACTCTGTCTAATAAATAATAAAGATGTTAATCTTAAAAATGTCTACTCTAGAAGGTCCTCATCATTACTCATGCATTTTCCCTTAGCAAAAACTTGTTGTGTAAAGAATATTGTTAAATACAGCAAATTTGCCTAGACCTTTTTCTTTACAGACCTATCAAAACCACATATTACAAAATCAATAAATAATAAAGATTACCAGTTAGAGGTACAGTAAGGATTTCAACATCCCTTTTTTGTTTAGGGAATAACAGACTGGTTTCCATTCTATTACCTTGAAAGTTAAATTATATGATTACATAAATGTTGGAAAGCAGCATTGAGACACATGAAGTTTTCCCACCATTTGATGCGTATTTTTAACTATTCACCCTAAACCAAATCATAATGTTATACAGCTACTGTAAAAAGCATTGCATTTAGTACTGCAGTTCTGTTTCATTTTCACTACCTCTTCATGCCTCTAAGAAACACTCAGTCAAAGTTCAGTGGAGAAGCAGCAAGGCCATCCTCAGCTGAAGTTTTCTTTCATCCTCTTTCCCCATTTTTTCTTACTATTAATTAGACTTTATCTCACATCTCAACTGATACACTATGAGATGTATCATTGAAATGTATGACATAAACATAAGGCTGGATATTTGTGCCTCCCATGATTAGAGTGTAATTTTCTACCATGACTACATACTGTGTTTATTTCTTTTCCCCTACAGATTATTCCTAATGTTTAATACAAAACATGTTGAAAACATCTGGAACCAGAACCAGTATTTTCATCTGGAAATGTGACAGATTTTTGCAGCTGACATAAACTGAAGGTTGCTGAAAGATGCTATGATTTTGATTAGGTTGAGGGATCTTAGAATATACAAACCATAGAGACTGAAGGCAAATAAATTATGGAAAAAATAGTGGTGCAAATTAAGACAATCTAAGTATGGATGCGTTTCTGCTTTTTGTGAGTTTTTTATTAATTTCAGCAGAGTTGCTCCTGATTCACAGCAATGTAAGCCCAGAGGGCAGTGTCTGGCTGCTTGTGGAAGCCAGGAGTAAAAGCCTGTTCATTGCACTACTTCAGTTTCGTTCACAATTGTGTAAGTAAAATACTGCTCATAAGAATTATACTGCAGCTTTTGTACTTCACATGTCCAATTCAATTTCTGCTCAGATAATGACTATATTCTGTATTTTGCCATTTCAGTCAGTCCAAAATCATACACACTAATTGTGGTCAAAGGCCTTTACCATATTGTAAGGGTATGTTGTTACAGGCTATAATCATAGGCAATGTTTTCTTGGGGGTGTGGGAGTGGGGGGTGTTTCTACATTGCATTTGCCTGTGGCTTCCATATTTTGCTCTGTGTATTTTGTTGCTGTGCACAGCTAAATCACATATAATAACTGTACTTCTAACCCTGAAGTACACTTGGCATTTTTTGTGCTACATCAAGTTTTCTTATTTTGTGCAAGACAATAATCAAACAGTAAGAAAAACTGTCAGTGGTCTAACAATGGGATATAAAACCTACATGAGACACAGTACTTTTAAACTGATATATAAAAATGTGCGTGTATATATATATGTATTTACCGTGAAATTGGACAGGTCACGTATCTCAAACTTATACCAGTTGCAAATAACTTCTACATATGTGCACAGCGGTCCACAAGTCCACAGGCCCAGAAATGTTTGTGAGAAAGATCTGGCCCACCGGAACTCTAAGAAACACATGTATTTTCACAATCCACATGCCAGCACATGGAAATAATTTCTATCTATCTTTTACTCTTTTTTGAAGAAGTATATTTTACAAGACCTTCTAGTAGCTCCTGGAGACTTCATATATGATGACTGAAGTATGGAAGAGAGATTTCAAAAAGCTGTGTTTCAATGCTATCTTACTTTCTGTAGCTCCTGTCTCAGCCATGATGGCAGGGGTTGTCCCAGTTTGTGTAGGAGTTTTGACAGTTCCACATTGTGATCTCTGTAGTAGCTTGACAGAAAAGCCCTGCACTGATGGGATACAAAAATAAATACTTTAAGAAAATGCCTTACTGCAGTTACTGTGAATTCTAGGTTTCATTCTAGAAGTTCATTTTACCCGGGTCAAAACTTTACTTTCTTTAAAGCAATTTATATTGCCTTATGCTATCTACTGCATGCAAGTTTAAGCTTTTCAGTTAGGAGTTGTACTATAGAAGGTAAATTCAAGAGAAACAAAGGTTGTCAAAAATGAACACTGAAGTCAAAGCAAAGGATCTGATTCTGCTCTCAGACAGTCATGTACATTAAAATTCACACTCTGATGCAGTCACTTTGAATTTATTTAAGTAATGACTGAAACCAAAGCTTCATATGTAGGCATGTATCAATTAGTAATCCGTTTTTCAGAAGTATTTAGAGTTGAAAAGTACAAACATAAACAAATATAGTCTTCTCTCATCTCTGGCCAAAAGCCTTCCCACCCAGTGATTTCATATCAGTATCATAACTCTACTGATGTAAAGTTACTTTTAAGTTCTATGAAAAAGAAGTCCTGGCTTACTTGCCGCATTAATACTTACTGCTGTTCAAACTGTAGGTTTTTATATGCATTTTAGTCAGGCTAAATGGAATGGGAATACAAGACAGAATAAACATAAAAGTTACAGTTAGAATAGGAGACTAAACTGCCCTTGGGTAAAGGCCATAGCGTTTGATGGGACGGAAATATCTTCATTTGAGCATCTGTCTGGGGGAGCCATTTATAAAACTCGTAAACAGAAACCTTTCTTAAAACTGGATTATGTGAGAGTCTGTGTTACTTGTCATGGTCTAACTACTCTCAAAGACAAGGGACCAGACACAAATACACATATCTGATCATGACTGAGAAAAAACCAAGCACTATGGAGTCTCTGCTACTTAAGTCACTTAGGTAAAAGGAAGAGGTTTCCAAGTGAATTTCAGGGGTTCCAAGTTTATCTTATTAAGAGGTGCCAAATTTTAAGAGCTGTTTTTTTTTTTTTAATATTATTTATATTCTTCACATTTAAAATGAAGAACTGAAAAACTCTATGCACTCCACAGCTATCTTCATTTTTATGGAAAGCTAGTCAAATAAATAATGTCTACTTAATTTTGTCTTCTCTCCCTTCTTATGATTTTGTCTGTGTGGTGTCTCCCACATGTGGCAACTGAATCCCTTTATAATGCCAATGAGCATAATGGTTTACCTCAGAATCCATAGGAGGGTATTTTCTTCCTTTGCTCTTTCCAAGACACTTTGTTTTTCCTTCTTCCAGGAGCTGACACCAGAAACCTTTATGTGAATCGAACCTGAAACAAGTATTTTGCAGCATGTGAAGGCTGTGAGATACTGCAAGGAGGATGCATCTCCCAAGTTCAGACTGAAGAATCAAAAGAGTAAACCTAAGGTTATCTGTTTTATTTTAAGGGCAACCAAATATAAATGTCAGAATCCGGGATTTGTGTATTTACACATCCAAAAGACGGGTATTTAGGATGTGGATGTTACATTTCTGACTGATCCTGCTGAATCTGTCTTGCAGCTAATGTAAAAAATAAACAATTTTTTTCTGTTTATGCAAGTCAGTGTTCCATGTTCTACTTCTGGAAATAAAATTCCTTTTGATTCATCCAAAATTCATACGCAATTCCATCAAAACGGTACTTTGTCCATTTGTTAGAGGTCTACTTCTGTAACAGTCAAGTTCCACATACAGTAGCTCAGTAGATGATTCACAGAAAATCTAACCCTGAACTGTTTTTTTTGCAGATGCTGAAGAATAAATCCTACTGCCAGCTCAAAGGAGAAGTATGAGAGCCTTTGTTTTGCAGTGAGCTTACTTATAACTTACTAACTTGTATTTTAGGATTGTTGAAATATGTGAAAATGATGATGAAATTAACTCACGTTAGGGCTTCAGAGTAATTATAATGAGGAGAGACTCCCAGGAACTTCTGTACTTCATCCATTACAGTAGACGGGTCAGTTCTCAGCTGCTGTCCATCAATAATTAGCAACTACAACAAAGAAAATAGATGTCCTTTTAAAAGCCATTATTTCAAGCTTTAAACTGAAATTTCCACCTCTCTCAACTCATTCATTCTATGGAGAGTACTGGCCTAGAGAATGGTAATTGGTCCAGTTTTAATTGTCACCATCATTAATGACTTGGGAGCAGGGTAAATGGCATGTCAATTAAATCTGAAATTAAACTGGAAGCTCATGCTTTAAGTCCAGCCGGTAACTCAGAACCACACAGCCCTCTTCTCACATCCCTCTTCTTCCCTCTCCTCCCAGCGGGATGAGGACAAGAATAGGAAGAATGTAACTCCCATGGGTTGAGATAAGAACAGTCCAGTAATTAAGGTATAACACAAACCCACTGCTACCACCAATAATAATAATGATAAGGGAAATAACAAGGGAAAAGAATACAACCGCTCAGCACCCACTGACTGATACCCAGCCCGACCCAAGAAGTGATCTAGATCTTCTGGGTAACTGCCCCCAGTTGATATACAGGGCATGACATGCTGTGGTATGGAATGCCCCTTTGGCTGGTTTGGGTCAGCTGTCCTGTCTCTGCTCCTGGCTTCCTCTCTTCCCTGGCAGAGCATAAGACTCAGAAAGTCTCCTTGGTCAGAGTAAACATTACTTGTTGTTTAGCAACAACTAAAAACATTGGTGTTATCAGTGCTGTTCCCAGGCTGAAAGTCAAAACCACAGCACGGCACCAGCTACTAAGAAGGAGAAAAATGACTGCTACTGCTGAACCCAGGACAGAAGTGGTTGTGACAACAGAGAAATAGCAGTGAAGGACCTAGAAAGATAAGAAATATTGGCAGAAAATTGAGTGAGATTTGACTAGACAAGAAAAAAAGTAATGTCTAGAGATCTAACCTCTAATTCTCACAGACAGAATCATGAAGACTTTATTGGGACCTTTCAGTACATAAGAAAGTTGGCAAGAGACTTTTTATCAGGGGCTGTTGTGACAGGATGAGGGGGTGATGGTTTTTTGAAGTAAAAAAGGGAGGATTCCGGCTGGATGTGAGGAAAAAAATTCTTTCCACTGAGGGTGGTAAACTACTGGCCCAGGTTGCCCAGAGAGATGGTGAATGCACCATCCCTGGAGACACTGAAGGCCAGGCTGGATGTGTTTCTGGGCAACCCGATCTAGTTGAAGATGTCCCTGCTCATTGCAGGGGAGTTGGACTAGATGAACTCTAAGGTTCCTTCCAATCCAATCTATTCTATGATTCTACATATTACAGTAATAGTGAACAGCTTGTCACTGTAAATGACCAGAAAAACAGAAAACAGTAGGTAGGATGATGTTAGGTGAAATCCATACAACCATACATATTTGTTGAAATATGTTGAATATATTCAACATAATATGTTGAAAAAAAACCCCTCCTTTGAGAATATTAAAGGCAGATTTATGATGACCTCAAGGCAGGAATGTAGATAGACAGAGGATGTGCAACACATTTCTAAGAAAGGCAGGTACTGGTAGGTCGTTTCTTTCTCTTCAAGTGCTTGACCATACATATCCTCACAGAAGGCTACCTCAGACACAGACACTCTTTTACCTGAAAGTGAATCTTCAGGGAAACAGACACTACCTGAGAATTTTCTCAGGTGTGGCATCATGGGCAAATGCCACACTGATGGTGCTGCAAGTTTGGGTCTTTGTGACTCTTGGAAGACAAGCGAAGTCCCAAATGGGTTAGTCAAGCCTTCATTTCCTGTCATGGAAACACCTCTATTATTTTTTCTGTTATGACGATGAAAAGAAGAGGGGAAATAGATTCGTAAGGGGGTTCAAGAGTCCCCTTTTGCAAGCACTGCTGAAGCTTGTTTTCAAATTTCCATGCAAACAGAGAGGCTAAAATCATATAAATTTCTTCCATGACTGAATGAAACTTAAAGTTTGCAAGACTATGAGGTTTCAGAGCATAATCAAAAGGGAAAAAACATCTTTTCTTTCAGAAGATTGGTCTTTGGAATTACCCATATAGATGTGGACTAGTGGAAGTATCAGGCTGTTCAGAAAGCAGTAGCCCATTCCAGAAGTCTTTGCAGTCAGATGCATGAAAGAACTCATTGTTTTCCTAAGACATAAGCTTTGAAAACAAGGCTTTAAGTGCTTCAAAAGAACAGGTCAAAAAACCATCTCAAATGGGTGATATTTCCATCTGAAGGAAAAGGAGTGAGGGTTTTTTCTTCACTATTTAAAATCATATACAGATAAATATCTGGGCCGTTCCTACTTCTGCTGCCCTAAAACAGACATGGAAGAAAGTTTTACCAATGGAAATTCATTCCAATTCCTGACATTCCCAATGTTGCAGGTAACAAAAAATGCTCCCTCTCAACCACCAGAGAGGCTGTAAGGAACTGAAGCAAAATTTTTTATTACTTGTACTGATTCATTCATATCCTGATCTCAGGAAGATGTTAACTTCATTAAATTCCTCAAAATCTTCATGTATTAGAAAGGTAGAAAACTTAATGTAGTTCTGACAAAGTGGGTAGCCTCATATATAATGAAAATACTACAGATGAAGTATTTTTGAGTCACTTGACATCATATTGATCATTTTACTGTAAAATTGCTGGCAGCTGAAGAATCATAGACTCACAGAATAGTTTGGGTCGGAAAGGAACTTAAGATCATCCAGTTCCACCACCCTTGTCATGGGCAGGGACACCACACTCTAGACCATGTCACCCAAGACTCTGTCCAGCCTCGCCTTGAACACTGCCAGGGATGGAGCATTTACCACTTTTTTTGGGCAACCTGTTCCAGTGCCCCACCATCCTCACAAAGATTGTTTAAGTCCCTGCTCTTCCACTATAAATGAGTTATCTTGTGTTTGAAAGTCACCACGGTGGGAGAGGAGCAAGAGAGACATTTTGGAGAATAGAATAGCTCAGACACAGCCTGAATCCATCAGCTTTAGACTGGCCATTAAATGATGGCTGTTGCAAAAATCAGCTTCATTTCCTGTAAGGCTGGCACACGAGCAAATCTTTTGGCTCATGAGGGAGTCACACCAGGTCCTCTTTTCTTCTGTATGATGATATTGAAGCAATGAGTTGTAGGCGGGAAATGAACTTGAGACATTAGCTTCCCGAACTTTTAGAGATCTGCTAGGTGGCCGGAAAAAAGAGGATTTTTGTATTACTTACGAGGTAATAAATTAAGTCAATCAGCCTTCTAAACATCTGAACCTCAAATCTGCAAAATCCTCTGAGATTTGCAATTTCTTACCATGCAAGGCAAGTGTGCTATTACCACTTTTCTAATGCGAAGGGGACCCTTACCAATTTCTGTTGCTACTTGAACACTTACTTTATACCTACCAACTTTACAATGGACATTAAGACTTCAATTCAGTTGTATGTAGAGACCTCTCAGATTTATACAGCATTAAAAATTATAGACAGCCTTAGATGGTCTGGGTGAGAGCTCTTTTGCTGAAGAAAGGCTCTCATAGTTTTGGATAAGGCTTTTATGATGAGCTGATTTTAGGTCTGGCTTCCGTAACTGTTTTATGCTTCTTTGAACTTGATAATTAGTTTGGATATGGCCTACTGTATATCACTGCTTTTGCAATGCAAGTTAATCCCTGGTACTTTTACAGAGGAAAAATAATGCTACCAGGGTTATTGTTCTGGGATGTAGAATCTGGCAAAAATCTGTATGACAATATGCATTGTTCAATATTAATGGACTTCTGAAGAAAAGCTAATGAAAATACAACGTAGAGAATTTCATATGAGTATCACGATATTACAGTGTTGCATGTCTCATAAAGTCTGCAAAGGCTGGCCCAAAAGAGGATATGTGGAGAACAACACCAACTAGATGCACCAGAGTTTCCCTGGCACACTAGGAAAACAGAAGGTGCAGACTCCAGCCAACTTGTCTCAGCTAAGCGAGTCCTGGATAAACAGAAGGTTCAGATTGCAGCCAAACTCCCTCAACTGAAGTAATCTTTAAATGCTGGGTGGGGAGTAGTGCCAGAAACACTGCTAATGTAAAAAAAATCCATTCCAGAAATAAGTCTACTGAGGAGATACTGATCATGTGATATTGTCTGCCTGGTCTTGTGTATCACACATGATGTTCAGGGCTTAGGATGTGCATCTTTTGAGGCTTGATCTTACACAGAACCAGAAGGAAGCTAATGATTTGTATGTTATAGGCCAAAGAAGCTTATAGGGAGATCCAATTTCCAGGTTGCTTATGTGCTATCTATACAGAAACCTACAGGTCCATAAACACACACACTTCGAGGCTCAAAGACACACAGAAAAACTGGTCTTAACACAAAGAATACACTGAGGATTAAGGATCAGTGAAAGATACCAAATGCAGATGATCAGGAGTACCAAATTGTTTCAGTGCATAAATAAGTCCCAGCAAACGCTCTGATATGTACATGCACTGTTATGGGCAGCAATGGGTAAGAATTTCCCCCAAAAAAGTGTGAAAAAGAGACCCAGTACTTTGACAGTGTGCTGGTCTGGCTGGAGTAGAGTTAGTTTTCTTCACAGTTGCTGGCATGGGGCTATGTTTTTCATTTGTGCTGGAAACAGCGTTGATAGTTCAGGGATGTTTTTGTTATTGCTGAAGAGTGCTTACAGGGTCAAGGCCATTTCTGCTCCTCACACCTTCAGCAAATAGGCTGGGAGTGCACAAGAGGTTGGGAGGGGACACAGCCAGAACAGCTGACCCCAGCTGACTCACAGGGTACTCCATTCCATATGGCATCATGCCTAGCAACAAAAAAAAGGGGGGAAGAAGGATAGGGATGTTTGGATTTATGGTCTTTTGTCTTCCCAAGTAACAGTTACACATGATGGAGCTCTGCTTTCCTGGTGATGGCTGAACACCAGGAATGCCAATGGGAAGTGGTGAATTAATTCCCTATTTTGCTTTGCTTGTGTGCACGGCTTCTGCTTTACCTATTAAACTATCTTTATCTCAACCCCTGAGTTTTCTCATTTTCACTCTTCTAATTCTCCCACTCTATCAGGAGGGAGTGAGCGAAGGGTTGTGTGTGGTTTAGTTGCCAGCTGGGATTAAGCTACAGAAGTTACAAAAACGTCAAAAAAGTTATGTTAGGTAGAACATAAATTTATCTAACAACCTGATGATGCCTGAGATGGCAAACATACTGACGTGCAAAAAGGCTTTGTCCCTATTGCTAACTGAAACAAATCGGAGACAACTTTCTGTTCTCCACGTCAAATGGCACAGCATGACCTGATCTCGCCTGAAAAACCAAATTGGTGGTGTCCACACTCACCGATGGTAATGGTTTGTGTTACCCTTCTAACTTGGCTCTGAAACTGTGTGGCAATATGCTTTTTGCTATGAGTCCAAATAGTGCCATAAGTGTGTTAAAATTCAGGCAGTATGGCCAGCAGTGGGACAGTGTGTGAACTCTTGCACAGGTACAGGTTTATTTACAATCATAGCCTGAGGGAGATTTCTGCATGAAAGGGCCAAGAAGTGGGTGAAGACACTGAGGCATTGAAATATTATGGTGTTACAAACCCACTAGATGATATCCATTTTTATGTGGCAATCCCCATTTCAGATGGAAAAGGTATTTTTTTTATACCCCAAAGTGTTCAGACATCAAAACTCTTCTCAACCCATACAGGGTGGGCAACGTCCCAGCTGACATCCCTTGATGCTCACTTATACTTGCTACCACTCAGAGTAGATACAAATGTAACTGAGTAGCTTCCCTTTAATTTTTCTTTTGGGAACTCTGATGAACATCTGATATTAAAGAGACCACAAAGCACTGCATGTCTGGTTCTCTTTTCCTCAATATTCCTGACAAAGAGCTAGACATAGAGTGATAAAAGCATGAGCAAATGAAAGCCAGCTGTAAGTTAAAGTTCACACGTAGCTATGAAGAATCACAATTAATGTCTTAAAAAATGCTCTAGTATATCTAGGATATCACTGCAGATCAGTATTCTCTAGGCAAGACTTTTACAAAGGTAATATTTTATGATAGTATATATTTGAGATTAGGATGTCAAGTTACAGTCTTATTCACCTGATAAGGTGGGAAGTAAGTTAGCCATCTTTCAATATGTGTAGCATACAATCCTGGTGCTAGGCATCTCTTTTGGAGAGCTTTAAGCTCAGATGGTGCTCGAGGTCCAGCTGTGATCACTTGATAGAAGCTGAATTTTAGAGCTGCAGGATCTTCATGTGATCGCTGATGCTGTAAAAGAAGTTACATTGCTGGAACTTTACAGACCACAAAAATTGGGCAAGTAAGACAAAACTGGTAGGTCTGGTCTTATTGAAAAAAACTGCTTAATCTATCTTGTATTTTGAGCATGAACTAGAGAACTGTGTCTATAAACTAAATTTGTACAGGCTGATTACATAAATTAATTGAGTAAGTAAGCATTTTTGCATGCTTGTATTACCATTTTGAAAAGGTGGCTTCTGGCATTTTAACCCCTGAAAGATTTTCAGGTTTACACTGACAGATACCTCAGCCCACAGGTGATCATATATGGTACACTGATTGATGAATAAAAGCTGCTATTATGCAAACCCTTTATATACATATATCCTGAAAGGATATACAAGGAGGAGTCAAGGTGGAAATCTTCATTTGTACCTGCCTGTGTACTTCGAAATGCATACCTGATACCAGGAATATGCCCGATCGGACGGGTCAATGAGGATGGTGATGATCTTGGCCTTGGGGATGAGGGAAGCAGCTCGTTTAGGAGCTTCCTCAGAATGGAAATAGTTGGCACTTTTCTCAAAGAGGAAGTCAGTGGTGACATTAGAAGGAGTGGGGAAGAAATCCATGTACCTAGGAAAGTAACATCATTCTCAGAATTACTTTCAAGTCACACAAAGGTTGCAAAATCTGTTATTTTATATAAATATATTTTATTCTAGAATAATCAATTAAAATAAGCCTCATTGCCAAATAAAAGCAAACAGAAGCTTATATTTTATTTTTTATCATATTGTCTTTGGTACTTGCTTTCTTCTCATTACATAAACATTGCAGTTAATTGAGTAATATGCTCAAAGTTGCATTCAAAAACTCTGCTACAAAGCTGCATAGCTATTGCATCTCACATGCAGACTGTATGTAAAAAAAACTGAAATTAGAGGATGACCAAAGAAAACAGAATGAAAGGATGCCGCTGCCCTGTTAGTTTAAAGTGTTCATATCTGCCTAATGCAAATATTTGAGAATGTGATACTGTTTCATTGAACAAACAACGGACTCTATTTCCCAAAAATATTACAGCTGATTTGATGAAAGTGATGAAGCTATACCAATTTCTGCTCGCAAATAAAATTATCAGAAACTAATGACTCAACCTGTGACCTCAGAATGTTTTACCAAAAATCGACAGCAAAGGTGGCAGATAGCTTTGAAAGAGTCAATAAGCACTACAGGCAAATCTGCTCTAGATCATGTATGCTGTCATTACACTGTTGTACCAAAGTCCTGGTAGACTGAGTAAGTACAAAGCAATGAGGGCTACAACCCTGTATGGAAACACTTCATATTAAATATGGTACTACAGCAATTTTTGGAAAAAAAGTGAATTGATTCTTTAGCTATCATGGCAAATTTGGAAACAAAAAGTAGAAATTGATGTGGTGTCAATGAAAAATGGTAAAGAGATTGGACCAGTGGGATATCAAGAGGTTATGAAGTTCAGGCTCAGCATTTCTGCTGAACACACACTGCAGAACTCTTGCTCAGTACCTCGTTCATGAGACAATTACTAAACTTGACAAAGGCAAAGCTGAGAAGGCTTTAGAGAAACTTGTCTAAGAAATTTGTAACATGAAGAAATGTATGACTGGTCTATTTAGACTTCTCCACTTCAAGAACAGAAAGATCAGTTCTCATCTTGCTCTTCTCTCATTTCTACTGGGAGACTACAATGTACATCCATACCTCTTTCAAGATGGCAGTACTGAGGTTGCCAAGGTCTGAAAGAACCCTCTTCTGCTTCAGTAGTCAGCCTTGGTCTAAATGTAAGCTTGGACAATGACTAAGTCAGCATCAGCTCTGGGAGAAAGCTGTATCTCCACAACCATAGAAGAAACTGAGCTGACTGTTACAGAATCGTAGAATGGTTTGGGTTGGAAAGGACCTTAAGATCATCTAGTTCCAACCCCCCTGCCATGGGCGGTGACAACTCACACTTGACCATGTCGCCCAAGACTCTGTCCAACCTGTCCTTGAACACTGACAGGGATGGAGCACTTACCAGTTCTTTGGGCAGCCTGTGCCAGTAAATAACTCACAGTAAAGAACTTCTTTCTTGTATCTTACCTGAACTTCCCCTGTTTAAGTTTAAACCCCTTGTTCTATCACTGCAGTCTCTGATGAAGAGTCCCTCCCCAGCATCCTTATAGGTCCCCTTCAGATACTGGAAGGCTGCTATGAGGTCTTCATGCAGCCTTCTCTTCTCCAGGCAGAATAGCCCCAACTTTCTCAGCCTTTCTTCATATGGGAGGTGCTCCAGCCCCTGATCATCCCTGTGGCCCTCCTCCAGACTTTGTTACCTATGAATACTCTTGCCTTGAAAAAGTCCCAGGCAATTAATGGACTAATGAGGAGATATCTTGTATCTAACTATCATTTGGTAAGCTCATTTCATGCCAGCATTAAAATATACTATCAGACTGAATGTCTGAGAGATTTGTCTGGCAGCCAGAATACAAATCTAAGCATTAAGTAACTGCACCAATGGGTAGTTCTGACTGTCCAAGACTTTAACTGTTAGAAGCGGCAGAGGTGCGTGGGACATGTAGTGCAGAGGTACAGATAGCCAAATGGGTGCTATAGAGTGCGAACCTGGACCATACAGGTTGACCACTGGGAGCTTTATGCACCAATGCTGTGTTAAGATTAAGGTCATTTGGCACAAGTCTAGCAGCTAAATTATATCTACTTGTCAGGAAAGTGGATATGGCAGGAGGAATGAGAGAAGCAGCAAAGTGGTCTTCTAGCAACATGAAAACATGCATTTTGTGGACGAATTGGCTCACTGTACTTAGGCTGTCTCCTTCAGTGTGTACCTGCTGTGTGTTGCTTGCATGTCATCTTCACTGACTTGAAAATCTCAACAGGAGGAAGTCAGCTTTCTAATTTCCAGTCATTTAGATGGCATCTCTCTATTGATAGTAACTGGCTGACTCACCACTCTTTGCAGTAAGAATCTGCTGCAACAATTATAACTCTGTAAAAACTAAGTGACTTAAAACCAAATTGGATCTGATGTATCTACACTAAGACCATATAACAGTGTTCACCCTGTTAATTTCACGGATGAATACAAAGGCAATAAAACTATCTTCCCTTAAACTGGGGGTGGGGGAAAGAAAGAAGACAAAACACCAGTAATCTTTTACTGGTGCTCCCCAACCATTACAGCATGTTACCACTTTTCATCTTGTGGTGCTTTAGACCGTAGCGCTTTCTGAAAGCAAGAGAAATCAAGAATGACCTTTTGCGTGTAGCTATGTCTGGTGATACTCCGGTAGTCATAGAACATGGCAGGAGTGATACATACTCTTTTTTAGTACCACTTACTAAACCTGCAGAGACACTAACATTCTCCTTATTACCTGATCCTTGAAAAACAATTTGAGAGGCTTTCCCTGTCCCCCTTTTGCCTGATTTGAGGAAAAAAAAAGCCTCTCCCTGGTATTAAGAAATAAGATTTCCAACAGGAACATAATTTTGCCTACATATATCAGAGTAACAGCTATTACTTTCCCAATTTCAACAGCACATGTAATGAGCAATATATATTACGTTACTGTTCCGCATATATTAATAAATGGATATTTACAAAAAAGCCTGACAAAAATGACTGCATTTATGATATTCGGTAATAAAATTGTTATTTACTTGCATTTATCATTTTAGAAGGACACTGATGGTCTTCTTTTATCTCACTCTCTATGGAAACCATTACTAACACTAACATCATTTCCGTATTGTTCACAATATATAAACTTGTATATTTATACTAATAACCCATCTTACCAATCAATCCCCCTGTGGTAGTTATTTCTATTAAAGAACTGTACCTCCTCAAAGGTTTTTGGGCTGGGGGAGTTACTAATGATGGAAGGATGCATGATCAGGAACAAATACAAGGCTGTGGTACCTGCAAACAGGATACAAATCCAAGATTAAAAAAAAATAAATTAACACGTACATTTTTTGGAGAGGTTGTACACCTAGATGGAGTACCAGTTTTATTCTATTTCATTTCAGTGAGAGGATGCTGATCGATGTCACCTAAGAATCTGTGCTTTCTGTGCTTTTAAATTGAAGACATATAAAGAACCATAGCTAGTTAACACAGAAACTGGAGTGCCAATGCAGAAATCTGCTTTTCACATTTTTAATAACTGTGTTTTAAAAACAATTACTGTTTTTTATAAGACTGTCACAAAAATAATTTAAAAATTTTGCAGTCAGTAGCTACTGGGGATTGCAAATCAAACTGCCTATTGGGAACTTCTTGACTTGAAAAAAATGCTATGAAATAACAAGTTTCTATAAACATGACACTTGCGGGACAGACGGGAACTTGCAGTAAAGAATCTATAATTTGAAAAATGGCTGTCCTTTTGTCCTTCCACATCTTGTTGATATCCTTATCAGTGTTACTCATTTTGACATAAAGTCAAAAAAATCTGACACACACCTGAACCCTGCATTTTCAATATATGTAATGTCTGTTATTGTAACTTACATTATTATGCTGTATTTGAATGATATCTGAAAACTAAAATATGCTATTAGATGATCTAGGTCTCTGCACAGTAGTCTCAGTGAAAAGTGATTACTTGGTATAATTACTTGAACTTACACACAGTCTATCTTGTTGAAATACAATAAAATCTCACCAGTTTTCTGGGGTCCTACAACCAAGAATTTTGGTAATCGATCACAGGTTTTTTCTTTCGACCAGATATCTTTGTGCCGTTTGTCATCACAGGGATTCTAAACCGGAGAACAACAACTAAGAATTTCATTGGTAATCAGATTTTTTACTAATGTACAAATACTCTTACCTGAAAAAATTATTTTCCCTTATGACAGAAACCCATGCTATGTATTAAACTATTTCAGTGATTCAGAAATGTATCTGCAGTGTAACTAAGCCAGAAACTATATCTCTTAAGTGTGTGGCTGGGTTTTTTTAATGAGATAAGTAAGTTGAAGAAATGTAGTTTTCATTCTACGTGTATATAGTTGTCCTGGCTATGCAATAGACCCTGGGACAAGATAATTTATCCTATGAAATGTCAGTATGTTCAGTGGAATTGTGACAAAGACAATCTGATCCCACATCTTAAGTTGTGGGAATAATTCAAAATCAATTGTTCAATTACATACAAGATAGGAAGGCTTGAAACTGCCTTGAACAGTTATCTAGTTATTGGCTTGAACAGTTATCTAGTTATTGGCTTGAACAGTTATCTAGTTCCTGATGTTTTCTTTTACATTACTGTAACAGCTACCATCCTATCCATGCTGTAGTTTTTAAACTGAAGGAATAAATGAATTATAATTTGTCTTTCCATTCACAAATACATATTCTGATCCTCGAATTCAAATCAGTATGTAACACTTGGTGTTATGTAACATTACATAATTTACATTATTTACATAATGTTTATTTAAATTTACTTAATGGAATCTTGTTTTTTTCATTGGCTGCTTTACAACTAAAGCACTTTAAACTTGTTTTAGAAATGCTACTTGCTAACAGTTTTTGATACTGTTGCTTAGCAGTACTTCACTAAGATGAAGTTTAAAAAAAAGTAACTGCATTCAGATTCACATGCATTATAGACACCCCACACCACATTCAGTATGTAATAGTCACTGTTACTTACAAAATGCCTTTTCTAAGTCAATACTAATTTTTCAAGTCACCTGGCTACAGGCTGATTTCCATTTTTAAAATTAATTATCTCTTAACATTATGCAAAATTCTTGACTTTTTTTCTCCTAATTCAATGTTTTATTCAATAACAGCATGAATTTCAAGATGCATATGTAAGTCCAAATTTGCAGTCTCACACTCAGATTCTAAGTTGGTAATTCAGTATCCAGCACTAGAAAACATTGGATTAAGCAAGCTTAAATACATTTTTATGTTTGATTTAGTAAAGTTTGCTCCTCAGAATATTTCTAGCAAATACCCTCAACACGATAGTATTTGGCATACATATTGTCACTGTAAGGACACACGTACCTACACACTTGGACATTTCACTGAATTGGTTGAACTGTCACTGAGCATATGCAGAAAAGAACACAACAGGGTTCACCACTTGCTGCAGTCGTTTCCCTTTAGGGCCTATGCTCTTAGTGCTGGACGATGGACTGGAGATGTACCAACTGCATGGTCAGTGCAGGCTTCAGCCGTAGTGGGTCTTCATATTCCTGATATTTTCAATTTACTCACTTCCGAGTGCAGGATAATCAAGCAGCAGAGTTGATAATATCAATGTATGAGGTGCTGGTAAACCTGTTTGGGCAGTTCTCAGCCTTTTGTGAATAACTTTCCTATTTATCTAATCTATTTTTACTTGGCTAGTCAGTTTTAACATTAAAGTAGCCACGGTCTTAATGCCTTTCTCTCTTTTTGGATGCCCTCTTCTCCTCACACCCTTAGAGAAAAGCTAATTTCTTTAATGGCCAATTGCTAAAGTATGTATATACATTTCTCTGCCAAATGCTTCACACCTGTTAGCTCCAAAAGGAGAAGAGAAATAACACAGTATGTCTTTCCTGCACCTCCTGCATTTCTAAAAGTAACAAATAAAATGAAAGATAGTTTTAATTACACAGCTTAATACATATTAATTTCACAACCTTTTATGGGCATTTAAGTGATGAGAAACAATCAAGTACACTGAAGCATCAGTGAGGTGCTTTATGGAACCAACTAGCAAATCTATAAATATTACTACTTTACTCTACAAGAAACAGAAGCAAAGAACTTCACAAAAACCACCATCAAGACGATTTTTTTTCCCCAATCTCTTCATCATCAAACCTGCCTACCTGCCAGAGAGGGTCCTTCTGCTCAGGGAACAGTTCAAAATACTTGTGAGCCAGCTGAACCGGAGGAAGAGTTTGCAGTTTCAGGTTTGTCCAGGTATGAACAAAATTGGCCAGGTTCACAAAGGTGTATAATCCCAGGCGGTCGTTTCCGTAATTGGACAAATGTGTCATGAAGATGCTAATCTTTAGAAACAAAATAAAGAGAGCAGACAATGATTCTTTGTACCACTAGATGGCAGTGTAACCACAGATAACATCAATTTAAATTGCCTTTTGCTCTTGGCGCTGCAAGACTTTGATCACATTCACATAGCTCTTGCTGTCCTTGCTCTTTGTTGAATTACATCCTCTTTCTCAAGTCAAGTCCATGCAATCAATGAAGAAAACTGGGGGATAGGTACTATGAACTCTGTGTGAACCAGGATATACAATCCTACCCTGCGGTTGTACAACATGTAAATAACGTTTACAAAAACAATACTCACAGGATTAATTCAAGTGGAATATAAATGTGATATTAAAAAGGTGTATTTTGGTTTTGTGGAAGAGTAAAGAGTCAGAGACCAAGAGGACAGCTGACCTCTATTGCTGTAATTTAAACCTCATTGCTCTAAAGTTTTGCAGGACAAGTAGCACATCTCTTCTACAAAACTATTCTACAAGCACTGGGCATATAGTCATATATCATATGCAGAAACAAACAAATAAAATCTGAAACCTGAGTGCTTTCAATTAATAGTGCGTAAAATAAAGGTTTATCAGTTGTAAGGCTACTTATATCTGCTCTTTTGACACCTTACTGTGAAAGTGTTACTAGGATAAATCCTCCCCCCCTACATCCTTTGCTCCAACTGCATTCGCAGACTCCTAACAAAAGCAATACCTGCTGTGAAGGTTTCTCACAGGAAGGGCATGTTTGGCTACATCTAATCATGCCAGTGAGTGGAGCAGGAATACACAGACTGCAAGGATGGTCTCTCAGGGACTGAAGAAGGTCTGGGCTGAAGACTGACACCTCTGTTTTGCAAAGTGATCGATTTTCAACGTAGTACCTCACTGATGAAAGTCTGTTCTTACACTAAAATCTGCAAATGCTTGTCTTTAGCAGTGATTTTTTTTTTTTTTTAATAGAGCTCTCAAAGACAAATTTTCTAGACTAATTTTCATTAAAATATTAGAAATGTGACTCTTTTATAAGTAAATCTGCTAATGCCATGAATAGGCAATTTCTATTTAAAGTTAAACTTGATGTAAGCCACTTAAAAAAGGCTTATCATGACCATAATTATGAAATTTGTTCAAGAACTGAAGTTAATCTTTTGTAAAGAAATTCCAGCCTTCAATTTCAAAAAGGAAAAAGAAAATAAAACATGGAATCTACAGCTGTATTGTTTCAGAATATTTAAAACACTGGCTTCCTTTGATATTAAATGTTCGAAACTACCAAACTTTTATTTTTTGAACACCTAACTCTACCACTACAGAAGACTGAGTGGGAATTCACAGTCTGTGAATGGACACAGAAAATGTATTTTATTAATAGTGTCATTTGGTGACTTCTCTTGGCTTATAAAGTAAGCTGAGGGCCTCAGTTTGTCCAACTCAAGTAAAATTGGAAGATATACACTGCTAAATTATTAGGATGCTATTGTTCTTTTCAAACAGGACTGAGTTAAAAATAACTCAAACCCTCCCCGTTAAGTAACCAATAATAAACATTTTGCCAAATGTATATAAACCATTTCAAGTTTCCTTTGTCATTTCAGTTCTCAAAGCAGTAACAGACCAGCTATAGATCTACATTGTTTTCAATAAAGATACAATTGGGGGGTTTCCACAAAAAAGGTTAACTCGTTTTCTTGACAGCCTCTTTCTTTCCTTCACGCAGGCAGACCTCTGACATTTATAATGTCAGTTCACATCCTGGCAACTCTTTAACTACCAACATTTACAGCACTGCCATGGGAGAAAAAGCAAGAGAACTTGGAAAGATTTCTAGTGCGGGGAACATATGCAGTATTTTTTCGCTGAGAAAAATATGACCATAATTTTAAGAATGTCAGAGTGGAGACTGAAAAATTGATTAGATATAGTATCATGAATAATTTCCAGCATATGAAACTGTGTCAACGAAGGGGGAAAATATATCATAAACCTTAGTTCCCATTTTAAAGTTGTTGGTTTCTTTGGTTGTTTTTTTAACATAAAATTGTTAATTATTTACCAAATGCTGGTAAATCTTGTAAAGAAGTCCATACTTAGTGTAACTATATGGCATCAAAAATATTACAGATCAGCTGAAACTATCTTCCAGAAAAATCTGAACAAAAGGTTTCCTCCCCTGTTGATACTGCACAAACTCCTAGTAAAATCACTATCAGCACCTGTGTAAAATTAGTCAACTACAATCCTGTGATTTACAGAACAATGAAATATTGCTGATCCAGGGCCCAATTCACCTGAGCTTACCTGAGAAGAACTAAGTTTTGTCTCCAGCTGCAAATGGTCTTTACAGGCTGAACTAGCAGCCTGTGTAACTAACAGGAGCATGATCCTGCAATGGTCTCATTCCCATTAGTCTGAGAAGGATCACGAACCACTCTGCACACCAGGGATCCCTGTGAGAAGTGGCTTACAGTACAAGAGGCCAACGTGCCAGCCACTCATATTCTAGGAGCATTTCTGCGAGTTTGTTGACAACAGCTATGCAGCCATGGCACTGGGAGAGATGTGCAAGCTGATCCTCTGGTTTCCCTGGCTATGAAAAGAAAATGATATCCAAGTGCCATTTTGAGGGACTTCACCTTGGCGCTGACCCAGCTGCAAGGGATGGTGTGTTGCTACCCACTTCCCTGCTTTCCCACCAAGCTTGCAGAAGGATGGAAATGCATATCATTACCCCTCCATTTGCAGGTGTGCAGTTTCATATCAAGACAAAACATAATTACTACTTTTTGTCTTCTGTACTGAGTTATGATACTTTTGCTCAATGATATCACATTCTGTTTCTTTCAAACAAGCTCTAAATAATGAACGTGATTACTCTTTCTGTGTCAACTAACAGTTAGCATGCTCTCCTATTAAATATTCTCTTAAAACCACTCTTGAAGAGATATAAAAATAATGCTCTGTGGGCATCTCAGAAGACCAGATCTAGTAAATAACACTATTTGTTCAATAACCTTGCACTTCTGGGAAATGCTGTAAAATACAAATAGAGCTTCGTATATTTCTTCATTCCTTCTTCAAAAGGGAAGCAGCTGTGAATGGATTTATATTTACTCTAACAAGCATTTTAGCCTCCCTTTCAGTTAAAAAGAGCTTATTTGACTTCATTATTTCCAGCCCTCTTCTGAAATAATTTCCTTCAGGGCATCTCAGCATTTTCTTTATCTCAGTGAGAAAAGGATCACCCTTTTTAGTGGTTCCTCATAAACAAACTATCATCTTGGTTGCACTTCAATGCACATTCTCCACAGGATTTAGTATCTTTCATGAGGGGACTGAAAAGAATGCATGCAACTTTTAAAATGATATTTTGGGACTAAATCTGGCCTCTGGGCAGCAGCTCCTTTCTTGCTCCCACACATTTTCAGATCAGAAGAGCAAAAGTGCTTTCCTGTACTCTGCCTTCTCATGGAGTTTTACAGACAGCTGTATAACCTACTCCTTTCAGCTCCCCCTCAGCATTTCCTTCCCCAGAATGAAAGGGTAGAGGCTATTTCTGTTTGCCCTCTTTCCCAAGCCCTGATTTTTTTTTTTTTATTTTGCAATTCTGACTAGTACTGCAGAGGCGTAGAGAAATGAGTACAAGCACTCAGGAGAAACAGCCTTTACCTTTCTGAATGCTCATTCTATGCTGCATATCTCCTTACTACAACAACCTTTCCCAATTAGAGGTAATAGCTTCTAGGTCAAGAAATTAAAGTTGAGACCGAGACTGAGTCACTGCTATTCAATCATGTGTATCAAGAAAAGATGAACCAGCATGATCTAACTTACATATCAGGAACAGAGAAAACAACAGATGATTGACAAACAACTTAAACAAAAAGAAAAAAATGCAACAAGTTGCCCAGCTTCTGGTGAGGGATGTTATTTTTACAGGCTGTATATCTTAAAACATACTGACCACTACAAAATCAAAACTACTACGATGCTGCACATATTAAATTATACAGTAAGGATGCTACTAAGCACCTACAGTCTTGATAACTTGTTGTTGGTTTCCTGACAAAAACAGCCTGCCTCCCAAAGTAATGACATTACCCTTAATTCCCAAGTGTGAGAAGCCCCTCTTACCAGGTTTGTGCAAGGTTTGTGTTTCTGGTTTCTTCCCCCTCAAGTCAAGTGGTCTCTATTTTTTGGAAAGACAGGGACGAGAGAAACCATTCAAGGATAGTGGTAAATACTCCCCCCCAACCCCGCCCTTCTTCTTACCAAGTTCCCTGTGATGGTCTAGAAGGTCAAATTATAAAGTTTCCCTATGTTGGAACAGGAGTGATTTATGGTAAGCAAGACTAACTGCTCTGATGGAAAATAACAGAGTGGATATCTTTGTGCTGGGCAACCTGCAAGTATTCCCACTCCCTTCCATATGTCCTGATAAGCAAAATGTACCTTGCTCCATGTTTAAATTCCATTTTACACAAACATTTTGCAGATGAACAGACTGCACTTATACCCCACTATTATTATTCTTCATGTTCTTTTTCTGTTTATACCTCCTGAATGGCATACTGCATCAGGAAGACTTCTGATTTGGTTTCAGTTACAGTAATAATGCCAGAAAGAAGCGGTGATGTCTACAGAAGAGTGAAACAAATTAAGCACAAAAACCTCTAGAACAGTGACAAGCCCATAGAACAGTAGTCCACTAAGCCACTGGTCTCCAAACTTTTTGGAGGGCATACACTTATCTGTAAAAATTATCTGAGCATGCATGCCCAAGGTATGTATATTTATTTATAAGTTATATACTTGTAACACTGAAGCTCCAACATGTATTATTCTCCCACTTTGGAAACCACTGAATTAAGCTGTTGGGTTCAGACTGTGACCTGAGAGCAGAGAGGACTCCCTTTTCACAAGGCAGCTCTACTTTCTTTGGCAGGCATCAGGAAAGGCAAGGGAAGACTGAGACTTGAAATAACACTGATGCTGTTAAACAGATTTAGTATTAT